GCTGGTATCCTTTAGGGCTCTTACGTAAAAGGAAGCACAGAATCCAGCGCCATTTAACTCTGGGATCACATCACTCAAGTCCTCCCCAATATAGAATACAACTATATTTAGAAATATTTCTTGTCCTTCAGAATCTAAAGAGTTAAAGCTAAGCTTTAGAGTTTCATATATATCAACATGGAGAGATTTGATCAGCATCATCAATGCCGAATCCCATTGTTCTAGTGACATACCACCCAAATAAAAACCAAGGACTTTAAGAGCTAGTGGCAGCCCCTTAGCAAAAGTAACCACTTCTTTGTAAAGATTCATGAATTCTTCTTCAGGGTATGGTTGTCCAAATGCGTGGCAACTAAGAAGTTGAAGAGACTCTTCGTCGCTCAAAAGTTGCATGTGATATGTGTCATCCACTTGGCTGGCCTTGAGAAAATATAAATCTCTAGTTGTAATGATTATTATACTACCTTTACCAAAGTGCTTACGACTTCCACATAGAGTATCCAGTTGGTGCGATTGATTCATATCGTCAAACACAAGAAGTATCTTCTTATGCTTCGACATGAGGCTTCCTATTTGTTCACGTAATTGTGAAGCAAAGTCGCCATCCCGGTGCCAATATTTACCAACATTTGGTAGAAAACATCTACTCTCAAATTCAGAAGAGATGTGGTCAAAGATGGCTGTGGCAATAGTAGTTTTGCCTATACCCCCAATTCCCCATATCCCTATCATGACAACGTGTTTTGATTTATGATTATGAAGCATTGTAATCACATCCCGAACACAAGAATCCACTTTAACGGTGTTCTTCGTAATATATAAGTACGAGTCCAATATATGACAAACATGCTTGATAATATTCTGAATAATCTCATCTCTTTGAGTGCTTTGAATTATGAAGAAAGAATAGCAGAAAAAGTACCACGAGTAATTAATCATGACTACAAATAAAGCAGGATAATGGGATATACTAGGAGCGACACATATATTCCATCAAAAAACCAAGAAATGAAACACATATATTCTCACCTTCAATTCACAGAATTAAAATAATACAAGTCAATTAACAAAATCATAGTTCTATATATGTTAATTGTGTTGCATGAATTATAAGATTCCATTGCATGGCATGAATAGAAGGATGACAAACACGTGATAATTAAGTCACATTGTATGTCAGAATCATAGATTATGTGCTTAGCTGATTGCTATAGGTTTTGACTTCAAAACATTTATAGAAAAAAGCATTTTCATATGACTTGGGTGTATGTATGTCAAAGCCTAAAATAAACCCGCTTTACATAATAATAATTCAACTACAGGACATCCATTTCCTTATGAGCGAATAGTCTAACCTACCAATCAATTCTTTTAATAACTAATTGCTGTAGATTGCAGCAAAAGAGTTGTACTTCTCTCTCTCTCACACACATGCAATATTAACAAAATTGAAAATAAATAGAACACAAAACGAAAGAAAAATTAAGTTACTTTGACTCAAGATTAGGCACATCAAACCCATATTTGCCTCCAGCTTCTCTGAGAGCTCTCCTCCAGCTTGAAACTTCATCGTCAATGGGTGAAATTCTTTGTATAAGACCTTGAAATGCTTGTCCAAAGCTAGATTCTTGATTACAAACTTCTGAACGACCCACTTCATAGAATATGGGAAGAACTACATGATAATATAGTTTGTGAAACTTCATTATTTTTGTGAGTTCCTCCAAGCACATTCTGGAACTAGCATAGTGTTTTGAGAAGATGATGATTGAAAATTTGTAAGTTTCAGTAATGCTCTGCAATAGTTCAATTGAAACATCATCTTTGAAAACGGAAATTCCAGCTTCACATAGAGATGAATGGAGACGAGAAGGGAAGGATTCTGTAGTCTCTTTGCCAGTGCCTACAATATTTTAAATTACGCAAACACTGGTTAATATTTATTGTGAATGACCATAAAAATTGTAAATATATTCAAGAAGCAAAAGATAATTCATTGGCCCTCATACCCTAAAAAATAACGAATGTCATTTTTTTGTTTATTTTTTTTCTCTTTCTTTCTTTCTCTTTTTTTTTTGGCGGAAGAAGAAATCATGAAATTCATTGAAAGACATTTCACACAGCAAATCTTCTGTGCATTTTACTTGAAAAGAAGAGTCCCACATATTTCTCCGTCGCCCTATAGCGGACCAACAATGTGTTTTCTTGGGGGCTGGCGCATGCATGCATATGTATTTATATATATATATATATATATATATATTACTTTCAATATTTTGGAAATTTGAAAAGTAATTTTGTAATTTAAGAAATCCAAGATATTGATAACCGGACTAATTATTGAACATAATGAGATAATAATTCAAGCGTCAAAAGGTCAAACTAAGGTTTAACCTCGATGGGACCTGATTAAAATAATATAATATGTAAAAAAATATTTGTATATAATCCGAATTAAAGTAACTTTCAAATAACAACGCATTAATGAAATATTCATGTATAAATTAAACCATTCATATATAATTCAACAAGATAAGCACAAACTTGATGGACTGCTATGTTTTAGAATTCAAAATGACATAATTTCAGCTAAGTAAAGGACTAAAAAAATATAAAATATCACACAATCAATCTATCCAAAACTTTTGGGTTTTGACTAGGCCAGTCTATTGGGGAAAAAAAAAGATAACAAATTATTTATAATTATTTAACATTTAATAAAAATCAAAAGCTTTTCAGTTTAATAACAAAAATCTAATTTTGCAGCTGGAAGCTTCGGTTCTGGCTTCGGAATCGGGTTTTGAATCTCAGGTAAGAATAAAAATAGGACAAAATAAAACATAGATTATTTCTGGGTGGGGATTAATTTCTTTTGTGTTGATCAAGATGTCCCTCTGAGTTCTTTTTGACACCCATCTCCTATTTTTTTGAGCATAAGATATGAATTGAAGTATCTTCCCATTGAAAGTGAAAGGATAAATGGGTTACCCAATGGCCGAAAAAAGGAGTATAAAGGGGTTACCCGGCTGGATCAGAAAATGCTCATTCTCGAGATCCAGATCCGAATCCGAATCTTCTGTCATTTGTCCGCCTCAAAGATGTTGGACGGCTGGAACGATCAATCCTGTCTTCCAGAAGAAGAAGAAGAATCCGTTAAAAATGGAGCAACTACCACCATCATCAATCAAATAAACCAAACAAAAAAGGCGGTGGTGAAACAGAGACGACCAATCAATCAGAGAAGAGAGAGAGATGTATAAGACTTTTGCTGTCTCTGCAGGAGAGTGAATGGAGAAAGAGTGACTGAAATGGAACGATCCGACGGAGAAGAAACTCGGAGCCTTCACTTGACTTGGCTCCGCTAAAACTTAAAAGTATTACAGCGCCGTCCGTTTGAAAACATTTCTCTCCATTTTACCTTCACATGCGAAAATTAAAAGGTTGTGTTTGAAACAATATTTCGTTTTCCTTCATTTTAATTACCGAGACATTAAAGTTTTAATAAAAAGATATATTTGTACAAAAAAAGTAAACTTTATTATCCTGAATACTTTAAGCCATCTTTGCCGTTCTGTTTGTAAGGTATAAATTTTTTTTTTTCTATTTACAAGTTATATCATTAAATTTTTTAATATGAATGTATTATTTTAGCTTTTGACTTCTTATTGTGCAAATTATGATTCTCTTGAAAATTATTTATATTAAATATGAACAAAAATGTTTTTTAGTTTCAGTGAACAGTAGTCCCACTGTTTTTTATTTTGAGTTTTAAATAACTAATTTACAGATAACGAATAATTAATTAAAATTAGTTAATACTAATAAATATATTAGAAATGTACTTTTATTTTTAAATATAAAGTTATAATGAAGGGAAAAAAGATGAAAGAAAATGTGTGAAAAAATATGATAAGAGAAAAATAAGTAAAAGCAACATTAAAAAAATATTTTAAATGTTAAAATGACACTATGCCAAGCATATTACCAACTGATGAACATGCAATGTCACCTTGCGAGAATAGCTACTAGATTGCAATGAAAGGGCTGAACATAAAATGGGCTTATGACTGTGAAACTGAGACTAATGGACCACAAGATGAAATAATTGGGCTTATGAGGAGTGGGCTAACATGGAACAAGGCAACAAGCCACTAGGGTATTTAGATGGAGAAAGATGGGAACTTCCAGCAGTGAAGTTTTTTATGAAGATTCCTCCCTACTGTTCTTCTTTTTTCCTTCTAGCCATCATTATTGTCCCCGTGACTCTGGAGTTTCCCTTGTTCCCTTCATGTAGACTGTAGTTTTTCATCTTAACCGTTAATGCTTCTAGTGTTCTTCATCTTAGTATTGTAATTCTCAGACTTGCTACATACACACGCAAAGTATAGTAGACTTTGCTTTCGATTTATCTTGGAATTATGTGTGTTAAGCTCTCATTATATATAAAGAGTGATAATAACATAGATGATGACCCCTCAGCAAGAAGAAGACGAGCAATTCCAGACATGTTTCTTGCTTTTGCTTCAAACTATATAAAACACTGCTTTCTCCATTTCTAATATCATAACCAATATGGCCTCGCCTCTGCTTTTGGCCACAATTCCACAACGTTTTTCCACATTTATAGAGCCACTATTCTTTGCAATAGTGGAAAGATATCAATCTTCAATAACAAGGGGGGGGGAACTAGTTGATTTCTTCTCTTATTTTGTGTGCCAAAAACAGAATCATAATTCTAACCCTTTTACCTCTCACCCTAGTCTAAGATTTCTTCATTCTATTTGCTTATTTTTATATTTTCTATATAATTTTATTTTCATTTTTAGTCAAGATGAAGAAGAAAGAAGAAAAAGAGATATTACACCACATTATTTGTAAAGATCTGAGCCACACAAATGGGACAATATAATTATTTATGTACAACCATGCCTATAGATAAGTTTTAATTCAAAAATGAAATATATTGACTTCATAAAAAGTGTTGTGGCCCCAAGAAAACTTCAAAGAAAGTGGTGCAGCAAAAACTTTGTTGCCTTTTTAGCTTTGGTAGATTGATATGCCTCCTCTTCTTCCTCCTCCTCGTATATGCGTTTGGTGCCAATTAAATTTACAGCTTCAAATGTTGAAGGCTCCATCTGTTCATCAAATGACTCATTGTACACCAAATAAACTGCTGTTTTCTTCACAGTGAATCCATTCCCAAAAATTACTCTCACCTCCACTTGGTCACCAGGTCCCAGATTTGATATTATTTCTTCCATCTCTGCTTCTTCCAAGGATTTCAGTTTTTCTTCCGTGTAGAGCAAAGTGGTTGCTTTTGTATAATTTATGATCATTAAGCAAATTATGCAGGATTCACATGCCTTGTTATCCAAATCACCTGAGGGGATATATACAAAACAAATAGTCATCCCTTTTAAATGATCATAACCATTAACTGGGGGCAGTTCAAATTTTACAGAAGCTCCTTCACCCTTAAATGTTAGCCAGTACGGATAACTGTCACCAGGAAGAATGCAATCATCACTATACTTTGTAAGATTCAATCCCTGCACAGTAACAAAAACATAACTTCTAATTTAGCTATATAATATGCATGCAGAAATCTTTTTAAGAAAAATCCAAATAGAGAGAACCTGTGAAACCCTCTTTGAAAGTGTACAAAAGACTTGAGAATTCTTTCCAATTTGAATTAAAAGATGCTCCAAGCAATTTTTAATTCTCGAGATGTCCATACAATTTGTAGCATAGAAGGAATCTAGAATCTCCAATCTATCTTCTAGCAAAAAACTCTGGTTCTTTGGTACATTGCTAGGGATTGTTGAAGAAATAGGGATGCTTTTTAGCATATTTAACATAATTGATAATGGCATGCCCGCATTTGTCAGAGTATGAGGTAGCAGATTATTTGTTGGGGACATCCAAGATTGGTAGAGAAAAGGAATCACACAATGTGCTAATCCTTCATGACCATAAATAGATAGATTTAAAATGCTTTTTAATCTCACCAAAGAGTAGGGCACTTGTTTTATTGTAGGAGCAATTAAAGTTGTCAAAGATTCCATTTGCTCTATGTCCTCCTCAAGCTTTTCAATATTCAAACAACCAGAAAGAATAAGAGTTTTTAAGCATTTTAATCTATAAATGCTTCTTGGAAGACTATGAAGGCCAACACAATCCTCCAAATCTAAGAGAAGAAGTTCATGAAGATGCCCAATAGAATCATGCATCATGGATAGTCTTGGACAGTCTTTGAGGATTAGCTTCTCAAGATTTGGTAGTTTTGAAAAATCAGGAGTTTGCTTCAAGTAAAGAGAGTGGCTGAGATTGAGGATTTTCAACATCTTCAATATCTACAACAAAAACATATTTCAAAGGGGAATTAAATGAACATCCTGAGAAATTTAACTAATAAAACACATAGAAACAATATGTAAAAACTTTCACTTAAACTGAAGACTCTTGAGTGCAAACATTGTTTTCAATCAATTGGAAAGTAACTCTTTAAAGAAAAAACATACTATATATCAATTACTTGATCCGGAAAAAGTAACACATATTTCAATATAAAGCGAATTTGAATTAAAGAAAATCTAGTAGCTTTATTCTTCAATAATAGCAAGGGATAATCCATTCATAAGCTATATATATGGGGGGAAAAAATTATAAGATAAAGAACTATCAAGAAGGCTATAAAGTATCAAACCGAATGAAAAATAGAGTAATATATTTACACGTCCCAAGTCCCTATTTTATGTTCCACATATCCAAAATTTCGAGTTTGGACTGGGCCCGTCTATAAAAAAAAAAAAAGATAACAAATTATTAATAGTTATTTTAACATTTAATAAAAATCAAAAGCTTTTCAGTGTAACAATAAAAATCTAATTTTGCAGCTGGAAGCTTTCGATTCTGGCTTTGAAATCGGGTTTTGAATCCCAGGTAAGAATAAAAATAGGAGAAAATAAAACATAGATTATTTCTGGGTGGGGATTAATTTCTTTTGTGTTGATCAAGATGTCCCTCTTCGAGTTCTTTTTGATATCCATCTCCTGTTTTTTTAAGCATAAGATATGAAGTATCTTCCCATTGAAAGTGAAAGGATAAATGGGTTACCCAGTGGCCCAAAAAAAGAGTATAAATGGGTTACCATGCTCATTCTCCAGATCCAGATGCGAATCCGAATCTTCTGTCATTTATCCGCCTCAAAGATATTGGACGGTTGGAACGATCAATCCTGTCTTCCAGAAGAAGAAGAAGAATCCGTTAAAAATGGAGCAACTACCACCATCATCAATCAAATAAACCAAACAAAAAAGGCGTGGTGATATGGAGCGGAAAGTTACCTGTGAATTGCTGGGTAGGTGAAACAGAGACGACCAATCGATCAGAGAAGAGAGAGATGTATAGGACTTTTGCTGTCTCTGCAGGAGAGTGAATGGAGGAAGAGTGAATGATATGAAACAACCCGACGAAGAAGAAACGTGGAGCCTTCACTTCACTTGACTCTGTTATAAGGCTTAGAAAGAGAGACTGAAATGGGACGACCCGACGGAGAAGAAACTCGGAGCCTTCACTTGACTTGACTCCGCTAAAACTTAAAAGAATTACAGCGCTGTCCGTTTGAAAACATTTCACATGCAAAAATTAAAAGGCTGTGTTCTTTTCACTTTTTTTTCCCCCGTCAATAAAAGCCTGTGTTCAAAACAGTATTTTGTTTTCCTTCATTTTAATTACTGAGACATTAAAGTTTTAGTAAAAAGATATTTGTACCAAAAAAGTAAACTCTATTATACTGATTACTTTAAACTATCTTTGCTATTCTGTTTGTAAGGTTTAGATTTTTTTTCCTTCTATTTATAAGTTATACCATTAAATTTTTAATATACATGTATTATTTTAGCTATTGATTTGTTATTGTGCAAACTGTGATTTTCTTGAAGATTATTTATATTAAATATGAATAAAAATATTTTTAGTTTCAGAGAAATAAATGAAGACAACATTAAAAATATATATTAAATGTTAAAATAAACTCAAATTAAAATTTATAAAACAGACCAAACCTCTTCCTAAATCTAAAGTTTATAAATTGGATCAGATGGAGTAATAAATTAAAAGTAAAATAGTACATTTATGTTAAAAATTTAATGATGAGAAAAAATTTCTTAGCTTTATAAATAGAGCAAAAAAATATTTTGAAATAGTGACTTGTGGGTATTCAAATTAATTTTTTAAAAATAATTTTACATAATTTAAAGTAAATATGTGAGATAAGTTTTGTCTTGTCATGTTTAAAAACATTTTTTTAAGTGCCCAAACACTAGCTAGTAATAAGTTATAACAAAATATCCAATGAGTCTCTTTGAACCACAATAATATTTATAAATGGTAGCTTGTGTTCAACAAAATACTTTTCAAATTTTGAATATAGACCTAATTATTAAATTAATTTTAGTTTTAAATATAAGATATATATGTCATATTTATCAATTTTTAAATTATTTTTATTAATATTCTCTCAACTATAATTAAATTGAACTGGATATTAAATAGGAAAGGTTAGCAAGTCATCGTTTTTTTTTTGAACTGATGGTAATCCGTACTTATATATTTATATGATAATTTTTTTTACTTGAATACATACTTGTATAAGAATATTACAATAATATGTGATCAAGTAAATAAATATTTTTTAAAAAAAGAAAATATGAGGAGAAACAAGTTTTTTCTTACTTGGATAGGAGAGAAAATGTGGGAGGAAAGAAAAGTGGAGGAGAAAATAAAGTAGGCCCTGTGCCTCATTTTCTCTTCAAATTTTCTCTCCACATATGAAGAGATTTGGGAAGGAAAACAAGACTTCCATGACCGTTCCTCATCTCTCTTCCTCTCCATATTTATTTTCTTTTATTATATTTAAAAAGTTATTCACTTTTTTTTCATCTTAAAACAATATTTTTATTAAATAATTTGGTTTTAAAATATAATAATCTGAAAATATATACAAACTAAATAACTTGATTTTAAATTATTTGATGATGCTAATGTTACTATAATTTTTTTATTGTAATATTTAATTTAATTTAATTTAATTGTAAATATGATATATTTTAATAATGACATTTTAGTTATTTAAATATATGCTAATTTTTTTTCTTCTCTATTTTTTCTCATCCATCCAAGTAAGAGGGATGATTATAACTTTTCTCCAGTTTTCTCTCTCTTATTTTCTTTCCTCTTGATTTTCCTTCCTATCCAAACAGAGCATCAAAGTAGGTAGTGAATGAGTCGAAGTGGTGGAAAAGGAAGGAGGGCGATTACTGTTTTTTAGACTCTTCGTTTCGTTTTCTTCCCGTCTCCGTGTTCTTTCGTCATTGGTTCAGGTTTCAATTTTCATCTTTAGACTTCATGGACATTTTTTCATTATTTCAGGGAAAATATCATAAATATATGCGACAAATAATAAGCAGTGGGCAGTAAAAAAAAAAAACAAGGACAACTCATAAAATTCGTAAGAATAGTAATACTTTTTTTAAAAAATAAAAAAAATACTGGGGTCGCTAAATTATGATAAAAGTGCAAAAGGAAGCAACAATCCATGTGGGAACTTACGATGGGGTCGTCTCCTGGTCCCACCTGGCCCCCTCCCCTTATTCCTCTCTCTCACGATCGATCAATCCCTCCGGGATTCTGTGATGGACACGTCAACCCTGCAAGCATTTCTTCCCTCATTTCTCTCTCTCGATCAATCTCTTGGCTCCGCATTCTTCGCCTTTTGTCTTTTGCCTGGGGGTGCCATGTGCGTTTTATTTACTTGTACTTTTAATATCTATGCACGGTAATGGCTCCCACCGCAAAATGAGGGATTGCGTGTTGGACTCGGTACATGCTCTTGTTTTCCCCCTAAACAAGGCTTTTTTTTTTTTTTTTTGAGTAGGATGTTATCGCTAATTCAGGGTATCCCAGCCGAAACCGACCAGACTAATCCCAAGGTGTCTCGTAGGTATCGAGCCCAAGACCTGGCGGGTACGTGGCGCCTTGCCTTCCCCTTGTCAACCAGTCGGACCGACCCTTGCAGGCAAGGCTTTTTTTTTTTAATAGGAAGTAATCCTATCTGAAATAGTATCAGACACAAAAAATATTTAAGTAATCCTATAATCACTTTATAGAAACTTTTTTTTTATAAGTTGAGACAAATTTTTTTATATATTTATTTCGTATATCATAAAAACACTTCTGAAACTATAGTTTTATTCTTACTCAAATATTCTGTAAATATAGGGAACTTTTTTCTATAGGTATTTGAATCTTATTCATCATGTTACAAAAGACAAATCCTTTAGACTTAATTTTGTTAGTTCTGTACATGCTCCTTAAATATCTTGGACTCGAAATCCGGGAGAAACAAAAAATGGTAACGGGAGATTCAAATTTCAAATTTTAAACTTTAAAATCCCCTCCACTCCTTTTTTCATCATCCGTTCGGCCCTTTTTTTAAATAAGAAAATAATAAATAAAGAAGGTTGAAATTATGATATTTCAATTTAAGGAACTAATGTTATGTTTGGATAAAAAAAAAAAAGAGAGGAAAAAAATGAGAGAGAAGTGGTTTTTCCTTTATTTGGATGAGGAAAGAAAAGCGAGAGAAAAAAAAAAGTTGAAAAGAAAATGAGATGGGTTCTACATTCTATTTTTCTTCCAATTTTTCTCTCCATATATCAAGAGAAAATGAGAAAAAAACGTATTTTCCCTTTCTACTCTTACATATGTTTTTTCTACAAAATGATACCTATTTTTTCCCATTTTTTTACTTTATTTATTATTTTCATATGTCTTTCTTCTATGTTTGCTTGATTTGAAAAATAAAATAACTAAAATTGTAAAAATCCTTCTAAAACAAACTAAAAGAAAAAATAAGTAGAGTTGTTATTTTAATTTTTTTGACATCACATTACACAAATGTTATTTTTTTAATAAAATTATTTGATGTTAAAATATAATAACATAATAATACCTCTTTATCACATAACTTGATTTTAAATTATCTAATTATGTTAATGTAAATATAGTTTTTTATTATGATATTTAATTTGATTTTAATCAAGATATATTTTGGTATAACAATAAGGGTATTTTAATCATTCATATATTTACTTATTTTCTTTCATTTCTGTTTTCTATTATCTATCCAAGTATAAGAAGTGATAATATTTTTTTTCTAATTTTCTTTTTTCTTCATTTTCTCTCTTTTCATTTTCTTTCCTCCTAACTTTTCTTCTCATCCAAACAAAAGGTAAGGATTGGAAATAACAGAGAGATAAGTTATTCTCAAATTAAAATTTTAAAATTTAGATGCTTTTTTTTTTTGGAAAAAAAAGTTCAA